TGTTGTTTGACTTCTGAATTAGTATCTTTACTTCTATCTCGCACAACCTTAAAGAAACACTTATTACTACCCCTTTCAATCCCACTAAATACCCATCTCGAATTCACTTTAGTTAGGGCCAGGGATCCAAAAAATTAACGAACTGTTTCACACAACACAGAATAAAGCCAAATACAAAATTTCCAGATGTTTTCCCGATTTCCCCCTTTTCCGATTAAAGAACCGTAATTCGTCCATTAATATCACATGACATATCCCGTGATCTCTCATTTCCCTCACACAAAATAATGCGTAATCGGAACTGAGTACTGCTCACATTATTACCAAAGTCCCAGGTAGTAACCTTTATCGCCTCCAAAATGTCGCCAAACTACCAGTTACCATATTCTAAAGATCAGCCTAAATTTCATACCGCCTTTAACATGCCGCCATGTAATCACTATCGTATTTACATGACAGCCAGACACACTATCCAGAAAAATTTATACTATGGTTCACAAATAAATGAAATCACAAATCCCTACTTCTATCATGCACTGCCATTAAAAATAATCTCCCAGACCCTCTTTCCACACTTCCAAATACCCACTACCCCTCAACAGGACAGCCACAATGATATTTCCTTTTGCCAAACTTCAATTCAACAACTACCATTTTATCTTTCCCTCCCATCTTCTCAGACACAGAGGCGAACCAACGAGCTCCAGCGAAAGATTTTTCAACGTCAACAGGGTTGCCATAGAACACGCAATCCCGCCAAAAACCAGCGCACAACACATATCGCCACATATGGTGAAATTAGAGCATATATTAAAGTTGTACCATTTATTTGTTTACTTTATTAAACATTTCTTTCAATGTAAGTTGTTTAAGTTGCTTCGTTTTATGTGATAATATTTTCTCTTTAATTCTATAAACAGACATAATTTCTTGTTCAGTTACAAAGTTCCGCTGTTCAAGTCCCGTTAATTGCTGTGCCGAGAATACCGACTAACTTGTCAATCGAAATTTTTTCGTTTTCACTAACCTCTCTGTCACATTCTTCATGTCTTTATCCATTTTTTGCAGCAATTCCACTTTTTGTTTGATGGATATCGAAACATACTTTCATTTTGTACGATACTTTCGGAGCTCCAGAATCGGAAATTCTATTTGACATAATCGAAAGTTCAAGCTTACTTTCATAATATTGCTCTTACATTCTGCAAAAAAATAATAAGCCGGATCCAATTCGAAGATTAAGGAACAACGCAATCATAAACATTAACTGAAATAGATAATTAGGTAATTTTAGCTTATACCGTCCGTTATACATAAAACACGCACGCGAAAACGTATTCTGCGCTTGCGCACACGCATATGCGCAGTTGTAAAAGGTCGTAGGTACACGCGTAAACGCCTATGCGAATGTGTCAACGCGGCGCATGCGCAGAAAATTTTTAGCTTTGAGGTCCGGATTATGGGTGTCCGAATTAACGACTTTTCACTGTATACTTTTTCGCGATCAGATAATTTCATTATATGTCCTTTTTACCAACTTTAAAGATTTACAAAATTTTCCTGCATTTTCATGGAAATTTTTCTAATTTATGAGAAAAAAGAAGTGTACATGGATAAAGTCAAGTGTGAGCGCAACGCCATTTTTGTGCAATTCTGGGATGTTTTTTTAAGTAAAAATAGGTCGACGTGTACATGGTTACCGCGTATGTGCCATTCTGAAAAACGTGGCAAGGAGTTTGCGATTCTGCACTTTCTCCCAATTTTGCAGTTAATATTCGTCATGATTAAGCACTTTTGTTCCATAAAATTTCTAGCATAAGCATAATTCGGCTAGCAGATTGTTGGAAAAAATGTTGAGTAAATAAAAAAAAAAGAAACCTGTCTATACTTCGTGAAGACAAAATGGCACAGAAAAAAAAAAGTAGAAGGTTGCTGTAGCAGGGTTGGTTGCCAAATTTTCGCCAAAAATCGCCAAGTTACCATAATCCAAAGATGACCCACTTCTCACGTTATTCCCAAAGTCCTATGTAGTAACCTTTATCGCCTCCAAAATGTCGCGAAACTACCTGTTACCAAATTCCAAAGATCAGCCCACTTTAGTTACGGCCATGGGATCCAAAAATTCACGAACACTGTTTCACACAACACAGAATAAAGCCCAAATACAATATTTCCAGATTTTTTCCCGATTTCCCCCCTTTTCCGATTATAGAACCGTAATTCGTCCATTAATATCACATGACATATCCCATGACCTCTCATTTCCCTCACACAAAATAATGTGTAATCGGAACTGAGTACTGCTCACATTATTACCAAAGTACCAGGTAGTAACCTTTATCGCCTCCAAAATGTCGCCATACTACCAGTTACCATATTGTAAAGATCAACCCTAAAGGGAATTCGAAATGGGTATTTATGTATGTATTAATTTAATGTATGTGCTCATTTATATTTTAAGTAGTGTTTTTGAATTTAATTATATTTTAATTAAATGATAGTTATTTTGTGAATTTTATGTTTGTAGGAATTTGGTATACGTTTTAGTTGAAGTAAACGTGCATGGAAATAATTTAAATATCTGACACTAAGTATTTGTAATGGTTGTGGTATGAATTCGTTGGTGACGTGTATAATGTAATAGATGATTTAGAGGTAAAAGTTTTTGGATATTTTATTTATTTTATATGTGGAAATGTTCATTACTTTTTCGCGATCAGGTAATTTCATATATGTTCTTTTTACCGGGTTTAAAGATTGAGAAAATTGTCATGTATTTTCGTGAAATTTTTCTAATTTATGAGAAAAATGCAGTGCACATGGATATAGTGAAGAGTGTGCGCAATGGCATTTTTGTGCAATTCTGGGATGTTTTTTTAAGTAAAAATAAGTCGACGTGTACATGGTTTAGTGATATTTTAATTAAATGATAGTTATTTTGTGAATTTTATGTTTGTAGGAATTTGGTACACGTAAGTTGAAGTAAACATACATGGAATTAATTTAAATATTTAATACTAAGTATTTGTAATGCTTGCGGTATGAATTCGTTGGTGACGTGTATAATGCAATAGATGATTTAGAGGTAAAAGTTTTTGGATATTTTATTTATTTTATATGTGGAAATGTTCATATTTGGAAAGGGTAAATACTTTTTCGCGGTCAGGTAATTTCTTATATGTTCTTTTTACCGGGTTTAAAGATTCAGAAAATTGTCATGTATTTTCGTGAAATTTTTCTAATTTACGAGAAAAAGCAGTGTACATGGATATAATGAAGAGCGTGCGCAATGCCATTTTTGTGCAATTCTGGGATGTTTTTTAAGTAAAAATAAGTCGGCGTGTACATGGTTTATGTGTATGTGTTATTTTGAAAAACGCGTTAGGAGTATGGTATTGTGCACTTTTTCCCAATTTTGCAGTGAATATTTGTCATGATTAAGCAGTTGTGTTAGATAAAATTTCTAGCATAAGTGTAATTCGGCTAGTAGATTGTTGGAAGAAGTGTTCAGTAGATAAAAAGAAAAGAAACATGTCTTTACTTCGTGAAGACAAAATGGCGGCGGAAAAAAAAAAAAAAAATAGAGGGTTGCTGTAGCAGAGTTGGTTGCCAAAAAATCGCCAAGTTACCATAATGTAAAGATCAACCTAATTTGTATGTAAGAATTTTTAAGAAAGATCTTTTATTTCATAGTAGACATTTAATGAGCTGTAATAGGTAATGAGCTATGTAATAAATATGTAATACTACAGCACAGTCCTGCATTTCATAAGCTGTAATGTGTAATATTAGTTGAACTAATTTGTGAAAGAAATATTTAAACAAACTAGTAATATTAGTTGAACTAATTTGTGAAAGAAATATTTAAACAAACTATTTTTATTATGTTTTAACAAAAATCCCTGTAATTTAAAAAGTTGTTGAATTTAAAAGGAAGGGGAAGTACTGCGGTTATTTCAAAACTCTAATAAAATAATGCTTTATTCTTGTCCGTGATTGTATAAGAAAGAAATAATCATCTGTTTATTCTTTTGTAATGGTATGAAAATTATCTGTGTATTTAATATAAAATTGTATGCATGTAAATAAATTTTTTAATTTATTACTTTATTTGTGTTAGCTTCAATTTTAATTCATTAAAACTGATATATACTTGTATATTGTAGGGCTGGCTATCTGAAACGTGCCTCACTTTTCGCGAATTTTTAATTACATAATAAGCCTAATAATAGAACTGCATGAAAATGGATTGATGAAGTTTGTAGGCTTTCTTAATAAGAGAGTCGGCTCTTTTATTTCCAGGAATCTAACAATGATTCAAAATATACTGTTACGCTATTTCAGTGCTCAAGTGCATGTCACTCATTTAAGATCTCACTTATTTAACCTAATAATAATATCAGAGGTAAAAGAATCTATAAGATAGGCAGTGTAGAAACAGTTTTCATTAATTTCTCAAAATTGAAAATTTTCCTTCAAAAATAATGATAAAAAGTTTATAAATTATGGACAGAATGCTGAAATATTTAAACATGCACACAAGAGAAGTATGTTGTTAGTATTTTTTGCATAATAACCAGTATATTAACCTAGGGGGCGGGAGTACTATTTTAAAGCATTTAAATCTAGCATGATTATATTTATTGTTCTTTTTAAAACAAATGATTACCCATAGCAATGGATGAAAATAAACAGTAAGTATTTTCGAAAGTTTCTTAACGTAGAAAAAATGGCTAACAGTTGCTATTTGTTGGATTTATCGGATTCTGTTAAGATGCAAATCTTACAATTAATGCAGGAAATTTCCGTGTATGGCTGAGAAATATATTTCGTATAATAACAGAAATATCTTCATGCTTCTTTTCAAAATAAAGGAAATATTAAAATCTGTGTGCTTTACACTCGAAAATACAGAAATATTTTCTTCATAGAATAATTATTTAAATGACAATAATTAGAATAGAAATTGATGAGATAACGAGAATATCAAGTAATCATACCTTTAATACTTAAAATCAATTGCTTTGTTTCCTGAGCCATGTTTTCACACAATAAATGATTAATTAATTCAAAGTTAAATTAACAACTTGTAAAATACTGAAATGGCATTTTAACATTTTCGTTATTTGGAAAGCCTTTGTCCACAGAAGATCTTCAGGCAAAGAACGCCTATGAACGTCAATACGTATTCTTTCCTTCAGGAGTGGCTAACCAATCAGAAAGCACCGTTAGGGACTTTTTAACACAGAATCTGTCCCTTACAAGAAAAATGACTACCTTCATCGGATTTTTACGTACTTCTCCGTTTTAACCCGAAATCCTCTAATTCTGCAACGCCATTGGCTGCTTAGAAATTCTGGGATTTTTGCTTGGGTTTCCATATTCGGCCTTTTATTTGCCAAGTAAGCGATGAAAGCATCGCTTACTTGGCAAATAAAAGAATTCTAAACCAAACTAATCGTGTTGATAAGTATCAGTATAATAATGGAGTGTAAGGTAATTTTTAATCAAATTGATATAAATGTAATCTACAAAGCATAAAAGAGATAATAAATGAAATAACGTAAACAAAAAAATAAGGAAGCAAAAGTCAAGATTTGCCTTCAAGCGGAATTAATTTTCAAAAATCATGTTAAAACAAGAAACTTAAGCTGCATTTAACATAAAAGTTCTTTTGAGGAAATACATGTAAAAAAATATTCAAGTACAACCTCGTTTATCCTAATTGTTGGGAAACCAATTCAGATAAAAAATTTTCCAAATGAGCTATTATTAGTATTATTTTCGTAAAAATAATTGTACAAATAAATAATTAAACATGCTAATTTTGAATTGAGACTGATATTTCGAGTACATATATCGTAAATTAAACTTAATTTTTTTTATGAACCTTACATTATCTTTAATTGCACTGTAGGAAATTTTAATTATTATTCTAGGAAGTACTTCCGCAGAGAACCCGGTAAATGTAACCATCGCCAACTTTGGCGATAATAGTTCAAACCTGGTAACCCAGCGGATTTATCCTATTCGCTTGTCTTGCGTTCATTTTGTGAATTATCACTGTCGTTGTTCGCATTTGCAGATTTATATTATTCTTCTCTTATTTATTATTATTTTTTCTGAATTTTTTAACAACGAATAGATAGAAATATTTTTGTAGGTAGATGCCGGTTCTCGGTTCGGGATGAAAGGAGGTGTGAATGCTAATTTGTAACACGGCTGTTCCAAAGCCGCCTGAAATTATCTTCAGGGGGCTTTGGCTGTTCACGTTGTGTTCTTAGTTATTAACAGCTCTAAGAACCATGAGGTTTCCAACCTCTAAAATAATTTGTTTCCGTAGGCCGCAAAAATGTACATGTGCATTTTAAATAATTAAGTAATGCTTTTATTTTTATTATTGGTATTGTCATCTAAAATTATGAGAATAAATCAATTTTTATGGCGTAAAATTTTAACAAGATAGTGTATTGTTAATGCTTTTCTAACAATAACCTTTCAGAGAATGGCAGATGTGACATAAATAGAGGATTAAATTGAAATAAAAAATCAGAGTCGTAGCTAGGGTTTTTCAGCGCCCATGGGCAACTGAAGATTTCGCGCCCCCTACTGTTTGCCAACGATGGAAAACATTTAATTCTAAAATGTCGTAACATCGATTTGGTGCCCCTTGGATTCTGCGCCCGGGAACAGATGTCCCCCCTTCCCCTTCTAGCTACGCCCCTGTAAAAAATATTATTGATTATCTAAGATAACAGAATAGTTTGATGCATCACCATGGTCATCAAAATTAGCAAACCGCTGCTGGTGTAAGGAATATATTGTTTTCTATGTTAACTGGAATTTAAGACAAATTTTTTTCATTTAATCAGGTAATTTCAGTACATTAATACTAATTTATATTTTTAAATGAATTTTTATTTCTGTTATAAATTTTTATATATTGTGTTATGCTTAATATATTCTTTTCTGTGCTAACTTGATCCTATATCACGTTAAACCGGTTAGTTTTACATCTACATGCTTATTATCTGTAAATTTTTACTACCATAAGCTTAATATATTGTTTTGTCCGCTAACTAGAATTTACATGCACTAAAAATCATGTTTACGGCTCGGCTCATCGTCGATGAACAGCGAGCTTGGCGAATAAAAATGCAACGGCGCCAACGGGTTCTTTCCCGAAGCGCCAACGGGTTCTCTGCGGATGAAAAGCCATAATCTCTTCTTAAATGACGCCTTCAGTAGACAAGAAATGAGTTCTTAGCTTTTGATATCTGCATTTGTAATAGCTTTGGGCGATGATGTATAGATGAATGAATGGATAAATATCAGGAATTCTTTTATACACAAATCAAAATAATATATTATTTGATAGAAAATGAGAAACAACCAAAAATCAATATCAAACATGTAAATATGTATCCGACTTAAAAAGAAAAATACTGTAGAAAAACTAAAAAAAGAAATTAATTTGCACTGAGTAATGCGCAGCACTTTCGTGACTTGACATTCTTTGGCCAGCTGATTCCTTTCTGCATGCCGAGCTCCCTGACATAAACACGCTGCGCGTGAATCGGCGCAAATGATCAGGGAGGAATCAGGAGGAAACACAAGCGCCTGGCCCCAGCCACCACCCCAAGCTCTTATTGGACACGACTTCAGATGTCATACAGTGACGAAAAGAGTTCTCTGCAGCATTTTTGTGCGCCAAAAGCTTGAGCTCGAGGTCATTTTAGCGCTGAAGCAGGCGAAGCAATGGAATAATTTGCCATATTTGCGAAAAAATTACAAAAATAAAAAGCAGCTTCAGAAATATATTGTTAATATACATATGTGCAGTCGATAACCGTTTACCAGTATTTTGGTCATTAGACGAATATCGAAGTCATTGGACAATAAACACTTTTTATAAGATATAAAAGTTAAGAAACAAAACAATAATACATAAAAAACAGAATGATAACTCCAATTGACAAAGTCAAATAAACGATATTATAAGTATTTTACGATTTAAAAGTATCTTATCACTTTATCTTATTTTTAACCATAAATGAAGAGAAATTAATGCCTAGGATTAGAAAGTAAAAAATTAATCTGACTACGAACAATTTTGATACCAAACAATCTCAATATATAACAAACAATAAATGAAAGGAAGGTTTGTTTATTTAATTATCAAACAGTTTCAATTTTTATGAAGAAATAACTAGCATTTTACATTTACATCACTTTTAAAAACACTTTTTCTCTGCAAAATAAACCGCTAATTAATGAAAACTGCGGCAGACATTATTTACACAGTAAGAGTTAAGTGCTATTTCTTGACATTGCTGACGAAGCAAATCTTGTTAATGGTCTCCTTTTATATGAAATTATAAAATACATTTCTTAAATATCAGTATAGCGCTATGAATTGCATTGAATACAGATTGCTTAGCCAAACACTATTTACGCATAAGTTTTATCTATTCCATTAACATGATTAAACAATTTATATAAAAAGTGCCGACATATTTTCTTATACTGTTGGTTCCTTTTAATTGCAAATATTCTGTTACATTGCACAAATTCACATTAACACAGAAGAGAACCAAATCCAAAGTAGTTATAAGTTCCCCTTGACATAACTCAAACGAAACAGATAATGGAATCTTTTCAGCCTGACGTCATAAACGGCAACCAATAAGAACAGGGGTGGTGGCTGGGGCCAGGCGCTTGTGGAGGAAACTAGCATCTGAGGGGCTAAACGCTTGTCAAATTTTACTCCACAACGTGTTTCAACGCCATTGGCTGCTTACAAATTCTAGGATTTTGCTTGGGTTTAATCCCCACAGGATATTTACTTCCGTTGGCATAATAAAATGTCGCCCATATCCTTAAAGGAGCCAAGTTGGCGCAACCAAGGCTGTTCTCCGAACCTTATCCAAAGAGACTGAATGAACTGAAATGTAAACATACTGACTTTATTTATTTTTATATGTATATTCGTTTATTATGTTTTTATATTTGTAAGAAATAATTTTTTGTTTTATTGTTATAAAAAACGTAATTAATAAATTGATTGGTAGTTCCCTCATGCGGGAAAGACACTATACATTCTCAAGCATGTATGTTTTCTGGGGGATTTCGGGCCGGGCCCTTCGGTACATTTGTCAGAGACACTAACCACTATCCCGTTTGGGTGGCTTTATTATTTTTAAATTAATGAATAAGCATTATTAATTTTTTTAAACGTTAACTGTAAAATGCGTACAGCAGTAACTACTTTATGCTCGCACAGTTAATTTTCAGGCTGGATCTTCAAATTTAAAAGTGTCAGTTTTTGCTGTGAATTGCTTCTTTGCAATTTTAGTGTCAACATGGAAACGTCATCATTCTTCACTTTCTGTTTGTGAAAGTCTATACTAGAGCTACTAGAGACACCTTTATTTAGCCTTAGCCATACTAAGGCTATCTTTCTCTCGGGCTACACACCTCCTAGTGCCTGTACCATCATCATTTCCAACTTATGCAAGGATTAATGCCATATTTTTTGCTACATTAAAATATGCCTTACAACACCATATGATTCCAATGATCGAAAAGTGACGCAAGTTCGCTAGGGATAGGACTCCCCAGTCCAGGCCCCCTTTGAAATGAACGTATCGTTCTCGGATGGTACTAAGGCTATATGAACCAAGGAGGTTAGAATAGAAGTGGGAGGGTTCGCAGTTCCTCCACTATCAGGGGAATAAAACTCCACCGAACAAGCCGCGTCCATGTTTGTAACTTCAAAACATTACAATACGGCAGTGAAACGTACGTGTTTCTAACAAGTTCCGTGCATGTATTTTCCAATAAAGATATGTTAAATTTATAATGAAATGCCTCGTTATTCTTAAATTTTTACTTTAAAGTAATAAAGATGATATCCGTAATTTACTATTACATAAAATTATTAAGAGATAGTTCGAAATCTAAATGCATGTGTATAACATTAAAGCCTTTGTAAATGATATTTATGCACATTTTAAGGGTTTGTGTAGGTTTTATTAACAACCTGTTGGGTGTACTGTCCAATTTTTCCTTTAAAAAGTGATATTTTGAATTTATTCATAATATTATCATAATTTATTAAAGATTCATTTCATATACAAATGTTTAAGAGATAGGAAACAAAATTATTTTATTTTAGCATTCTTAATAGTTCAGGTTTAAGTTGAAATACACTAAAACCGGAATTCACACATTTTTTATTGGCTATAGGAGAGTACTTGATGCAAATACTATTTCCTTTTTTAAAAGCATTTATTGGCATACTTTATGCGTGTTTCATATTTATGAATCTAAAAAAAATTGCCTTGAATTAAGCTGAATTACCTAAATATACCTGTATAAATTTTTGGATACGCCTTTTCACATGTTCAATTATGTAAATATTTTACTTACTTTTATTGCTATATTGCCTAGAAATTTGTAAGTTATGCAAACAATTGTTAACAACAGAACAGTTTATCTTGATCAAATGCACAAATTAAATTCATAACAGTTCACAAAACTTAAAAAGCAATAATAATTAATACATAAAGAGAAACATTCCTTTATTTAACACTTTTACAACTCATAATAGCAATAATTGATTTCTTACTTTTCATGAAAATTATTAAACGAATTACCTAAAATGTTCATATTATATAGTTTAAATCCTAGCATATATCATTGTATATTAAGGCACGAAGATACCAACTATAAACAGAAACATTAAAATATATTTAAAGTTCTTTTTTTCACATCTGGAAAGAAAATTACGTGCCATTGTGATATTTTTCAACATATTTATTCTTAAATTAATTACTTTAAAAAAATCAATACTCACGGATGAAAAGTAATCTAAGGAACTTTCTAGAAAATCGGTTTGTGCATCCATATGTAACACAAGTTCCTATGCTTCAATAGTAATAATAATGATAAAAAGTTGCAATGACAGACTTCCTTGCTCAAGTTACAACAGTAATAGTAACATGACCGCCAAGACAAATTCTTTGGCTAAGATTCATGGTTTGAGTTGAACCAAGGTTGAACCTTCCCTCCTTCTATTCTAACCTCCTTAATATGAACAAGTCCTGCGCTTATGTGCTTCTCTTTCAAGTCCTGCGCTTATGTGCTTCTCTTTCAAGTCCTGCGTTTATGTGACGTCATTCGAAGGTGTTTTGTGTCTATTATGTTTGTTTTTCCGTTTCATTTGTAATCGGGAAACTAGGACAATTATTATTCGGCGACGTGTATCAGTGTCAGTTGGTTAATACGTGTATCAGGTAGTGTGTTCATTTTGTAATTAATTTCCCAGTTTTCGAGCCAATATATATACTGTTTGTGTATTTTCGTTATGCTTCTGATCTTTTCTCGAACGCGTATTGCATAAGCTGGCCCATCATAAATTAAAATTTGCGGAAAAATTTATTAAGTATGGTAAATACTAAAAATCTTCCTTAAAATCAGCACTCTGCTTGTATATAAATTGCTTTTTGTTTTACTGTATACAGTTATATGTTCTTATGTCTTGGTATTAATTGATTCAAAATCAAATAAATAATTATTATTTAGTATAACTGAAATGTTTTTTTTTTTTTTTTTCCTACAGATTTTTGAAGAAGTATAATACTGCTTAAACTTTACAAATTTATATGTCATCTGTGAAAAATAGTAATCAGCACTATAAACTAAAGTTTAGTCGTGCTAACTCACCAAAAATTTTGGTCAATGCGGTAATAATAAAAATCTCCTGATATTACATAAAGATAATTTTAGAGGCATGAATGTAAATTTTTTAAAATTTTCACGTTTATGAACTACAGATCAGATATGAATTAACTACTCTTAATCACTGTTTTAGAATTCCGATGAATCTACAGTTTTGCTGTTGAGAGATGGTTTAACTAGATCAGAGTATTAAAATCACAAAATTAACAGTGATGAATTTTCTTAAAATACTTTTGTAAAGCAGTATCAAAATTTCATGTTTAGATTATTGTATTTTCTCTTTCATTATTATAGATGAGAGCTTTGATTTTAACATTCTTGGCCATTGTGGCTGTGCAGCTTGTGGTAGCTCCTCCTGTAGATCAGAAGAAAAAAGATGATGAAGATAAAAAAGGAACCTCCGAAGAATTGGATGATTTTGTGAGTATTTGTTTTAAAAGTCAATGTTAAAAAACAATTGTAATGTAATAAAATAGAGAAACCTATCTATTAAATCAGCCGTATAAAATTACACAATATTTATTTTTAATTATTAACTGATCAGTCACTTGTAATCCCTAATATGTAATCCCTTTATAATTCTTTTTATTCACTTATAAATAAGATTTTTAAGTAACTTTTAAAGATAGTAAAATAAAGCAAAATTACAGTTATGTTATTTAATCCTCTTTTTAAGTGAAATTAAGCTTGTCAAATTAAGTGTTTTATACTTTTTTAATTACTATTTAATTAATATGAAAAGATGGTATTAATTTAGGTAAATTTATACTAATGTAGATTGGGTTATAAAATTTCAAAAATGTGTACCTTATAACCCTTATTAAGAAAATAATTGTACATTGAATATGGACTATGCCTATTTCATGAGTTGTTACCAAGAAAAATTTCTTTTCTGAAGATAAATTAAAAAGATATTGCAACAGGAAATTCTTTTCCCCTCCATCCTTTTTGTAGTTAATATTTGAACTACTAATCTATTTATTGCCTTCTATTGCCGGAAGTGTTTACCTATATGGATGAATGTTTTAAGAACCGTCAAATACCAGTTATCTCAGCTTTTCATTTTTTAACTGTGTAATCCTTTTTGAGATAAAAGTGTAATAAACAAAGCTAAATAATTAAAATACAATCATAGTGACATTTTAGTAATTAGTTATTTTAAATAAAGGAAAAGTGCAATCCAGTTATCTGAACTTTTTATTGTCATATGATATTTTATGTATGTTTTTATTCTTTCTCCAGTTGTCTTTAGATTATGGTAACTTGGCGATTTTTTGGCAACCAACTCTGCTACAGCAACCCTCTATTTTTTTTTTTTTTTCCGCCGCCATTTTGTCTTCACGAAGTAAGGACATGTTTCTTTTCTTTTTATTTACAGAACACTTTTTCCAAAAATCTACTAGCCAAATTACACTTATACTAGAAATTTTATCTAACAAAACTGCTTAATCATGACAAATATTCACTGCAAAATTGGGAAAAAGTGCACAATCGCAAACTCCTTGCGCGTTTTTCACAATAACACATACACATAAACCATGTACACGTCGACTTATTTTTACTTAAAAAACACATCCCAGAATTGTACAAAATGGCATTGCGCACACTCTTCACTATATCCATGTACACTGCTTTTTTCTCATAAATTAGAAAAATTTCACGAAAATGCATGACAATTTTCTGAATCTTTAAACCCGGTAAAAAGAATATATATGAAATTACCTTATCGCGAAAAAGTATATACCCTTTCCAAATATGAACGTTTCCACGTATAAAATAAATAAAATATCCAAAAACTTTTACCTCTAAATTATCTATTATATTATAAACGTCACCAACGAATTCATACCACAAACATTACAAATATTTAGTGTCAAATATTTAAATTATTTCCATGCACGATACTTCAACTAAAACGTATACCACATTCCTACAAACATAAAATTCACAAAATAACTATCATTTAATTAAAATATCACTAAACCATGTACACGTCGACTTATTTTTACTTAAAAAACATCCCAGAATTGCACAAAAATGGCATTGCGCACACTCTTCACTATATCCATGTACACTGCTTTTTTCTCATAAATTAGAAAAATTTCACGAAAATGCATGAAAATACTCAAGGTATACTACTCAAACATATTCCAAAATACTACAAACATATAACTCACAAAATCACGATCATTAAATTAAAAAATATTAAATTAAAAAACACTACTTAAAATATAAATAAGCACATACATTAATTAAATAAAAAAAATTAGATTACAATCCTAATTACTTTAAACTAAAATCATTGCTAATAACAATTTTCAAATAATACCATTTATTTACTCCTTACATTTAGAACAATGCATAAAAATAATATCCTCAAATGATTAAAAATACTAACTTACCTAATCTTCTTCAGAATCTTCATTACGTCGCTTCAGTACTACTGCTAATTTCTAAATCCTAAATCCTAAATCCAGTAGTCAACTGGAAGTCTATTCACCAAGTAATAAGAAATTAATAAAATTTCACCTATACTCAAACTACTTTCAGCAAACCACGTACCCTTCCTTACACTCCTTTTCACAAAATGTCTATTTTCACCATATTTCTTGCACCACCATTTAAACTTGTAATATCCTTCCTTTCACACAATCTCAACTTATTATTATTATTATTATCAGTTAAATGCATTAAAAATTTAGAATTCACTTTACATAGCGCCATGCAATCCGAAAATTAATCAACACTATTTCACACAACACACAATGAAGCTTTTTCAAATAGCGCCATGCAATCCGAAAATTAATCAACACTATTTCACACAACACACAATGAAGCTTTTTCCAATTAACCCCCTTTTCCAATTAAAGAACTCTAATTCGTCCATTAATGTCACGTTTCACACAACACAGAATATAGCTATACGAAATTCCAGATTTTCCCCCTTTTCCGATTAAACAACTGTAATTCGTCCATTAAGTCACAGACATATCTCATGATCTCTCATTTCTCTCACAAAATAATGGTAATCGGAACTGAGTGCTTCTCACATTATTACCAAAGTCCTAGGTAGTAACCTTTATCGTCTCCAAAATGTCGCCAAACTACCAGTTACCATATTCCAAAGATCAGCCCTTTCTCCTAGTAATTTGCATTCCTCTATAATGAATAAGTTATAAATTTCACTGTGTGAATGAATATAAAGTGTATCTTGCTTTTTCTAATAATTCAGCCTGTAGTTGTTATCACAATTACAGGTCCATGATTATGAATAGTCATTCAAATTTTAAATGTAAGCAAGAAATATGTATAAGGGTAGCAGAAATTATACACAGTGTTTGGATACTGTGTTTACAAACTGTAGTTTATAAAGAAATTATTGCGTAATGAAATTGCATTTAATTTTTTTTTTTTTTTTTTTTTTTTTTTTTTGTGTGTGTGTGTGTGTGTGTGTTTGTGTTCTTATTGTCTATGTCAGTGTATACCAGTGCTCTTCAAATTATGTTTTGCGGAACCTGAAGGTTCAAGCAGCTTTTCGTACAAAGAAATTTTTGAGTAATGAAATTACATTTAATTTTTGTGTGTGTGTTCTTATTGCCTAAGACAGTGTATACCAGTGCTCTTCAAACTATATTTTGCAGCATCTGGGGGTTCCAAGCAGCTTTTCTAGAAATTCCACAAATCAAAATAAAATTTTTTAAATAATTTTTAATATCACGTGACCATAAATATTAACTTTTAAAATAAATAATTAAGTGGTACTTTTTATTTTTCTTGCTACAAGTGCTTAAAATATTATGAAGTAAATCTGTTTTAACAAACAAACTTGAAATGAAATAATGGTTTTTCTTTTACTTGCTACATAAAATATATGCAGTAGGATAGAGTTTAAATAAATTTTTAACAGTTATTTTTACATAGGACAGTAGGGGTTCCAATTTAAAAAAAAGTTTTAGGCGTTCCACAAAAGAAAAGTTCAAATTTAGTGGCTCCAGACCAATGAACAGACAACTGGTATGTACAAAAACTAGAAATGTCTTTAAGAGAAAAAAACAACCTTAGATTGGCATTGACCAGGATCTATATGGCCCTTTAATATGTTTTCTTTCTTTTTTCTAAATTATTTTTGTCTTTAGAAGTTCTTAATTCCAGTCAAGGGTTGTACTGAAATTTCTGCCTTGTTTCTGTATCTGCTGTTGTGATTGGGAATCAACATTTAGGACACACATGGAATTCATACTATGTAGCTGGTAATAGAATCTTCTCAAACTGGCACTGTAAACTATGAAGAACAATTACCCTACCTGGAACAAAAGTTTTGGGATATCTAATGGTTTTGTCTCCCATATTTTCAAAACAGATTTTTTTCAACAGGAATACTGTTTGGTCTACATTTACAATCATGTATTGACTTACTGTGATGAAAGCATGACTTGCAGTAATGTCAAAACATGGATTTCGTTAAGGTTACATTTCCACCCTCTGTTATCAGTAAATCTGGATATTTTTCAAAGATATGGGCAAAAGACATAAATGGAGCACATGAAAATAAGGGAGGATATTCTGAAAATATTTAGCAGCATTAGAACAATCTGAATCTGGAAATTGATTTACATGGAAAGTTCAACTGTATGGCTCCAGTCATCATGAAATAATGGCAATTCTTGTAGAGGAGAAATGATCAGTCAATGAAAAAAAAAAAAAAAGAGGTTTATAATTTGCTATTAAGGCTTTTCTCTTGCACTATAGTCCTTGTACACTGGAAGATTCGGTGAAACTTGGTAGACTTATACACCTTCAGTTGATAGCTAAAAACCCAGGAAAGTCTGTGGCAAAAGAAACATTATGCTATTTGTTTTAGATCATATCAGTTAACATTTGAGAATTTTTTCATCCTAGGAAGACCATTCAAGTATTATGTGACAGATTTATTTTTCAATTTTTTTAAAGGTGTAAAAAAAATGTGCCAGTATGGAGACACCACATTGGTTCCAATAATTCTGTATTTAAAATGTATTCTCTTGGTTCCACGCATTCTGATTCTCACTCGCATTTGTTTTCTGTATTACATAAAAAGAAGTTCTTCACTTTTGGAAGTATGAATTCTTTTGCTGTACTTCAGTGATTTTGACAATTTTAAGCTCAATTTGTTTACAAAATTTTGATTTGGTAATTTAAGAATTCCATGATGTTTTCTAATAAATATAATAAAGTTATTACAAAATCATTAAAGCAATGATGATATTTTTTAATTAAAACCTAAATTCCGAAAAACACAATACAAAGTCTGAAATTATGATTTCCAATCTGTGGATTAATCTAAAATTCAGACCTCCCGACTACCAGCAACCCCCCCCTTTTTTTTTAATTTTTTTGCATGCCTTAATCCATGTGCATTTGATATGGAGCATGGTAACCTT